TTCAGGTTTTAGGTGGATTTCGTTGTGGCGATGAAGAGAGTGAGAGGACCACGCCTGACACCCGTACGCTTGCCACCAAATATTACCAAAATACATGGATAAAGTGCCTTACTACGGGTCATGGTGAGAAACTGGATCGCTCAGTGCTGTTTGCACTGCTTTAGAAAGGAGCACATTACAAAGACCCTGATAAAGACGTGTAACAAGGAGGGACGCATCGAGAAACTGGCGAGGGCCATGCATATAAGTGTACGGTGCTGAAAGGTGTGTGGCGTGGAGGTTCTCAGCGACTTGGGTAGTTCTGATGTGGTAAGCGCAGGCGGGACCACCACCATGGGCGTTGAAAGAGGACGGGCGTCGCAGAGGTCCCATGGAGTGGCCTCACAGCGTTCCTATGGGACTTCGTCCTCGGAATCCCAAGACTCGCGGGAAAGGTGCAAGAACTGCTGCAGGAAATTCGTGTCTTTCATGTGCACGCAAGTGGGCGTGGGCGGTCTAGTGGTGTCCTACGCTATCATGGGCGCCTTCGCCTTCATTGCCATCGAGGGAAAACCCGAATTCTGGATGACAAACCAGACGTCGGTGATTCACAACGACACGATCCGCACACTCTGGAATTACACGGAACACCTGAACGTCCTGCACAAGGACCGCTGGTACGAGGACGTCAACGAGACGCTCTACAAGTTCCAAAAGGACATCGTGACGGTCGTCAAGAGCGGCTACGACGGCCGCTCGCACGAGGAGGTGTGGAACTTTCCCGCATCCCTCATGTTCTGCCTGAGCGTCTTCACCATGATCGGGTACGGCCACATGACGCCCCGGACGGACTGGGGCAAAATCGCCACTATCCTGTACGCCGTGCTGGGCATCCCGCTCTACATCGTCTACTTTATGAACATGGGGCGCGTCTTCGCCAAGTCCTTCAAGTTCCTGTATCGAGCGATGTATCGGTGCGTGAACCGCAGCAAAACAAAGACCGAGGAGGAGGGCGAGCAGCTGGGCGAATGGGAGGAGCCCACCATTATCGTGCCTTCGACGGCCTGTATCTGGGTCATGATCTTCTACATGACCACGGGCACCGTCATGTTCGCCGAGTGGGAGAACTGGTCGTACCTCAATTCCTGCTACTTCTCCTTCACGTCTCTTGCCAAGATCGGCATCGGCGACTTCGTGCCCGGGTTCGGTGGCGGCGAAGCTTTCGGAGCGGCTACGGAGGACTCGCAGACTAAGCTCATCATAAACTTTATGTACCTCCTGATCGGCATGGGCCTCATCGCCATGTGCTACACGCTCATGAAGGAAGAGATCATGCTCCGCCTCCGTACGCTCAAGCAGGAGTTCAAGGAGAAGCTTTTCTTCTGCGGAGTCAAGCTCGGCCTCTACCAAGAGGAGCTGCCCTATCCTGAGCCGCGGCATCCTGCCCACGGCCGCACCAAGTCTATTAGGAAGTCTGTCAGACGTCGGTAGTCGAACCGACTGCGAATATCGTCCTTTCTATGGACGCATGCGGTCGTCAGGCTACTCAGCTGTGCTGATTGGTCGCCTCGCACCTGTCCGATATCATAGACATGTGCCGAATAAACCGCAGGTTGTTTCGCCGTTGATGTTTCCTGCCGCAGGTGTATGCATCGGCAGTAGGGCACACGGGCGGAGCGGCATGCGCCTGTATGTATGTGTGTGTGAGAGAGGCCGCAGATAATAAGTTTAGCTGCGGCAGGCATGCCAAGGTCGTGTGACAGTAACTCCCTGCTCCCCTCCTCCTCTGAGCCGCGACTGACATCCCCTCGCCCCGGGTGGGAGGAAGGGGAAGGAAGAGGAGGGGAGAAGAAGTGACACTAAAAGATTATCCTTCTTGCCCTGTATGCCCGCAGCGTACTGTATGCTAATGTGCACTTTGGACACATTTAAAACTGGCACAGTCTGTGAAATCATTTCGTTACCACTCGACATGTAATTTAAAAGGGTGTTATTCACATCAGTTTCAAAACAAAAATATTTTGAGGAACACGACAATAAAAAAGAAAGAGAATGGAACTGTCTCTCCAAAAAGTAAAAATCCCTGTGTATACATGAATGTGCTGCAGGTGAACCCTAACATTGGTCCGCAACACTAAGACTTGAGGCAGTGAAGTAATGCACAGCAACGCATTTATCATAATCAATTAGTATGATATGTTCGGAACAGTTCCTGTGGACTTTCAGTACGTGTTCTCTGAATTATGCCATTTATATTTATAAAGATGCCATCGAGCTTCCTGTGAGTAGTAGTGACTGGTTAAAAGGGATCAGCAGGTATTATTTTCATGGCGCTATTACATGAACTCTGCGCACGTTAATTTATCCGTTTGTGAGGGATAGACGGGTTAATGTAAGGCTAGAAACCTAAATTAACCAATTTCTGTATTCATATTTGATCACACATGGGAGTAGAGAGATACGTCTACTTTTGACCATGAACATTAAACGAGTCTTGAAAATAAATTTGATGTATTTCTAA